TTTTTTTTAAGGAGATGCTTCTATATCAAAATTTAAATTATATAAAACCACGACAATATCTCAACCAATCATATGTATATAGTTCAACAGCTCACATTATCTGCTTTCATGATCTATATCGCTCTTCTCTATATTCGAGTTTTAATATGGCCTATAATAATTTCTAAAAAAAAAAGAATTCTATCTATTTTTTATTATGTCATTTGAATCAACATTTATAGTCTCACATTTGAAAACCTAAAATATGTTATAACTATAACTGTAGAGATTTCTTTGTTTTTATAGTCACTGTGTCGTAGAATTCATTCTATTGTCAGTTCTTGCATGATTTCTATTCAGAATTTGTGGACTACAAAAAAAACTTCTCCGACAAAATTCGGAAAACCAAGGGAAGTTCTTGAGATCGGCTAGTTTTTTAGCAAACGTTGAGGGATGAGTTTGAAAATTGGGCTCTATTAAGTTGTAAAGCTTAGCTTTATCTACATTTTGATACCAACTCCAACTTTTTAACGTTTAAATTGGCGAAGAAATCTGGAACGCACGGAAATACAAAAGTCGAGCATTCCATTTTGAGAAAAATGCAAAATAAGTTTTAATATTGAAATTAAAGACTTTTTGCTGTATAAACTGATCTTAAAAGAGTCTTTAAATAGTCTCTCATACATTATTTAGTAGAACGAATCATACGAACACACTACATCCGCAAGAGATACCTATCACTATCGATTTTTTTAGAAAAAAAATAATGTTTTCTTTTGCATGAATGGGTTCTGAAAAATCTCTGTAAAGCCCTTAAAACTTAACATAAAACCAATAAACTATAGTGCATTCGAAAATACACATTTAGCTCTGTCTAACGTACTAAAAATCACAAAAATTGATAAACTAGACCAAAATTGACTTGTTTTGAGAGGAGGGGACTTAATTGGACCCGTAAAACTCGTTTCGATTCGGTCTCTGTTTCACAACATGAAATTTGATAAAAATATCAAACATAAACATTTCAAAATTTTTTTTAAAGACTTACAATTAAATTTTTCTGATAACAGCAACGAATTGACGAGAAGTGTCGAAAAGAAAAACAAAGAATCCATGAAATAAAATATATTAATATCTTTTGTTAATCTATTTTGATCTGTTATTGTTTATTAATTAAGAGTATGGATTGAGATTGTTGTAGATGCAAATTGTTACTATGTACAAAACAGGATAAAAATTGATTATAATCATATGCTTTTTTTAACTAATTTGAATTCGAGATTTTTTTCAAAAAATAAAATATCACTTTATTAACAACCCTATTCGTTCATTTATTCTTTAATCTAATCATAATCAAGGTAAATACAACAAAATCTGTTTTTTTTTTGTTTCATAAAAATAAGAAAACTAATAAAACAATATCAACATCGAAACAACTAAATAAATGTTTTAAAAATAATCAGATAATTCACTATCACTATTGCTATCTCCACATCGTTCACATGGTAAAGTAGAACCCCAACTACCTAAAAATACGAAAGAAACAAAAATTAATTATATTTCAAATAAAGATCATTGACTATTACATACATTTATTACATTTATCACAATGCCATACTCTCCAATCC